AGGCTCATGCATTTGTTTGGTGGGCAGTGTGGGATAACACAAAGTACTTTGCTGCTAGTGCATCCCTCAGAGCATCTCATCCCCATGCCAGGACTGTCTATGCAGCAATGCATCCATCCTGTGGTGCTGCCCAAAATTGTCCACCTTCTCTTCTGCTAGAATGCAGCCAGGGCAGATTCCTAAGTGGATGGAGCTGACCTTCCCACCAGACCTGCTGGGTGGCTTCTTAAGGATGGCTTACAGAGTCAAACAGTTGACTGAGCCCTTGGGGCTTGACTGAGGCTGCTGTGTCCTTATCTTCTCCAAAGAGATGAGCCCCTTCAGCTTGTGGGTGTGAGCTGCTGCTGACAACATATTCGTTTGAGATGCAGCATGATGCCAACTGTTGCAGTAGCCTCTCCTCACTGTATCTCAGTGTAGGGATTAAGCCATGCCACCCACACAGCCCAGGCTTTTGTGCTCCTGCCCTGCATAGTGTTCTCATCTCTATTTCCCTGTAAGTCTACTAGTTATGGAGAGCTTGTATGGTCATCTGGGACAGGAACATGATTTAGTTCTAGTAAAACTGACAGAATGGGCTCAGAAGAGGCAATAAAATCATCTGACCTAGAGTTGTCTTGAAGCATGGTGTGTTTTTTTTTTTTTTAGATGAAAACAAGGGACATAATGTCGTCTGTTTTTTCCTGATGGAGAAAAACTTTACATCTCTGTGATGCTCTGATGCTGGTTTCCTTGCATTACTGTGTGATTGACTTTGCACTGTTGTCATAGAGTGGAGGTGAGCAGTTTCTCCTCACAGCTCTTGGGCTGTGATCTTTTAGGAATGAGCTTCCCAGGTATTGGAAATGATACCTGTGATGACCTAAGAGATTTTGCCTGTTTCTATGTTTTTGTGCTGAATTTGTGCTATGATGTGCCCTGCTGTCAGGTGGTGGGAGTATGTGGGCTGGAAAGTCTGGTTCCTGCCAGTCAAACAGGTGAGGCAGCCTGAGCTCCTGCAGGGAGGAGCTGGTCCCCAGGAGCTGCGAGGCTGCTGTTGCTCAGAGATGACAGGCTGCAGCTGTCAGCTCCCTGCCTCAGCCTTTCCACAACAACAGGCCTGTGTCTGGCTGCATTTGGGACTGCAGTTTTGTGGGGATGCTAACCGGGTCTGGTAATTCTTGATTCTTCATTGGAGTCTGTTTAATTTCAGGTTGATCCTTCCCTTGTAGGACACATCAGGTCATAGGCAGTCACTGAGGCAGCAAATTCTCCAGCTTTTCATGGTATGCTCTTAGTCTGCGAGCACTGATCTGATGAACTACTTGCTCGTGGTTTGCTAATAGACTTGTTCTGTATACATAGGGAGTTATATCCCATGCTGCTTCTACTTAATCCTAAGAGGCTTTCCTTCTCTGTATGGGACAAGTGGGAGAAGCAGTAGACTTGGCTTTAAGTGGTCAATCTGCACCTGTGGAGATAATGAGGCCTAATGTTCATAAACCCTGTTAAAGGTGCCACCTGTTATGCCTTAGGTCTGTTGAGCTCTGCTGTACAGCTATGATGCTGCTGGAGTCTCTGGCACCTCTAGTATTGCCAGTGAACATGACTCTTCTTGTTTGAAGGTGGTTGTGCGACTGCGCTGCCCTTTGTGCAGGGAGTAGGGAAGTCCAAAGCTGATGGTATGGTAAGTTGTAGTCAGTGAGCCCTTCCATGGGGGAGAATTGACTGAGTTTGTAATGGGCTTTTTGAATAGTCAGGACAGAGCTATTAGAGTGATTTCAAGAGTCTTTCTGCTGCTTGCTTTGTAGACTTCAAATATCCATCTTGTTTTAGTGTCCCTGTCCAATTAGTGCTCATGCCTGGATGGGACAGCACACTGGTTATTACTGTGTAATGATTACAGACACTGTGGGAATGGGTTTGGAGCCCTCTTGTGAGGCATTTGCATGATCATGAAAGCCACAGAGATGAGCACCCTGGTGCTGTGCCCATCCCACATGCAGATAGGGGTGATCAGTGTTCCTCTGCCAGAGGGCTTTGACCTACTTCTAGTAGTAGGTGTTGGGATCAGCCCTTGGTCTGTGTGTCCTCCTTCATCACCTACTTAATTCTGTTCTTTGGGTGCTTTTTGTATGTACTATATAGGGCTGCTGTGTGCCATTGCTTCAGATAGGTAGCCCAGCCATCTCTGCATCACCTTATACTATGTGAGTTATAACACAGGGTCACTGTGACAACTTTGCTTTTACTTCTAAAGTAGTTTTGCCCAGATTCTTTATTCCTTCACTCTTGTTCCTTGCAGTGTCAAAGTTTCTCCCAGCGTTGCCTCTTCCTGACAACTCTCATCTCTATTGATAGCCTAAATATGGAATCACCATTGTTGTGTATGATAAAGAATAAGCCTACTCTGACAGCTTGCTTGGTCAGTTCAGGGAGATGCTCTCCCTGGGGAAAAAACACTGTTTAGATACAGACCTCCCACTGCAAGTTGTTTTTCTGAGAATTCTGAGTCTGACTGCCTACTTTATTTCTTTTCTGCACAAGGTTACTAAGCCCTATTGCTGCAGGCTTTTTCCTTCCCCTGTAAGCTTGGGGGGGATCTGATGACTACCCAGACTCTGCAAGTTGCCTGCTAGTCGGGGACTCTCCTCTCATTTCTTCCTTCTAGCATGCCTGGGAAGGAGAGGATGTAATCTTTATAAGATGCCATCCAAAAGCTTAAAGGTTTTACAGCCACTACTGGAGAGTGTATGGTTTTAACACCCACCTGCTGAGGATTAGGAAACTGCTCAGCTCCAGACAGGTCAATCACATTCAGCTGCTTGGAGCTGATGTGTAAGGAGCAGTGCATGGGCAACTCATTTCCAGTAGTGGCTGCAGCAACACTTGCCAGAGCTGTTGCATAGCAAGGGCTTGAGAGATTGCCTCTTCACTGGGAACACAACTCTTCTGTATTGACATGAAAGTATACTGATGTTGACCGTCTGTTTTCAGGCTGTAAGCAATGTTCTTTTTCATTCAGCATGAAATAGCTGAGCCAGGGGAAGTAACAAATGGATGTGTGATTCAAATAGGATCTTATCTGATGGTGTTAACTACAGAGTTCACCAGGAAGCTTTGTGCTGCCACTTGGACTGGGAGATCTGGGACTAGCTGTCATCAGACCCTGGTCAGTCCACCTGTCACCAGTCCTCAGAGCTGAGGTGTCAGGCTAGGGCAGCTCTGTTCTCTTACTGTACCCCAGGTCTCTTGGCTTTGTTTTCCACATCTGAAGTGTAGCATCTTGTGCTCTTGTGGCAGGTTGGTGTTCTTTGCCCTGTGACTTGGGGCTCAGATGTTTCTCTTAGATTCTCACTTCTCTTGGGGGACAGGAAGGGGAGATTTGACTTCAGCATGTGGACAGCCGTGTTCCTACTGAGTCTTCACACTGGTGGCTGGGATCATTCAGTGTACAACCATATTCTTAAATACGGCTCTCCTGTTGGATGCTATCTGCTGTACATGTTTGAGCTTTCTTCCCAAGATGCTGTGTATGAAACTGAGTGTGCACTGAGTATTGTCCTCTCTTCCTCCTGGAGACGGAGCTGCAGAGGGAGAAAATCCAGTTATCACTGCTTCATGGTAAACCTCAGTCTTACAAGCAGCTCCCCTTCAGATCTCAGAGAGAGCAAGGTGCTGCTGCTCAGGGATGCCCAAATTCCTGCTGCCTAGTCTCTGCCTTGCTGCTATTGTTTTATGTTGGGCAGATGCTGTCGTGCTCATCTTGATGAGTTCACTTGCATATAAGCTAAGGAGAGCTTATCCTGGAGCTGACTGCTGTAGGTGATGGTGGAGGTGCCAGCTTGTGATGCCTGCTGTGTGTGTGCTTCAAAGTTGCTATGTTCTGGGGTGCTCAGTCCTGTTCTGCTGTAGCAGCTGCCATCAGCAGATCTTCTGAACTGTAGATCACCACAGCCCTGCTGGGAAATGTGGGCTCTGAGCACTTGAAGTGTGCACAGGCACTGCCAGACCCCTTTGGGGTCTGGAGTTCTGAGAGGTTGGTTGGGTGTTTTTGCTGTGCTGGGGGAGGATGAGCTTTGAAGAAGGCTGTGGAGTTCATCAGCAGTCAGCAAGCCTTACTGCCAGCCTACAGGTCAGGGATGAGGGTTGGGTTGTTATCCAGCCAGTTGGTTATCTCCTGACCTTTGAGGGTTGCTGTTCCCTTGGGAGCCTGATGGGGACCAAGCCTGCCATAGCCAGTTCAGCAAGGCCAGCTCTGCAGTCACCAGCCAGACTGTTTTGATGCTGTCTGTAATTAAACTAGTGGGAAGATCATGGTGGCTTGCCTTCTTGCCTGTTACAGGATTGATTTCTGACTTGAATACTGATGAAATGGGAGTGCTGGCTACTAGGCTGCTGGAGCTCACCCTGTTGCTTGTGATAGCTGCTGTATGGTGAAAGATAAGTGATTTGAAAGATGTGTGTGCTCTGTGAGGTAAAGCTATGTGGGTTGAGCTGTTGTCTGTTACTGGTTCACAATGCTGTGATCAAGCTGCTGGGTCTTGTTATAAAGGGCCTTGCAGTTTTTGCTGAAGTAGCACAAATTGGCTGTGTCGCTTGTTGAAAATCTGTGTAAGTAAGCATCTAATCCTCAGTGTTGGTTACTGGGGCAGAGCAGCAGGCCAAATTCTAGCCTGCAAATGAAATTTCCCCTGAGATAGAAGTGATAACCTGTTGGTGAGTGGTGGAAGCAGATGTGTTGCAAGGCCTTCAGGCAGCATGTGGGGTGTGTTTGGGCCCCAAGGTGCTCTGGGAGGCTTGAACCTGTTTCTTAACTTCCCTTGAGCTAATCAAGGCTCAGTTTTGGGATCTCTGGTCTCCTCCCAGTTTCTTGCACAAGAGGACCAGGATCTTGGAGTCAAAGGAGAACAACTATTTCTTCTGTACTAACCTGTCAGCTGTAAACTCCTATGGTATGTTGTGTAGGTAAGAGCAGATGCCTGACTGAATACTAACTCCTTTCAGTGTGCAGAGAGACCTGAAGTGTTGGTGTTGTGTGGAGGGATGAGGCACCTGGAGACTTGGAAGCCCTTCTGCTTTCCAGTGTGGAACAGCATGGAGCCCTTGAGACTCAGGAAGTCCAATGCATTTCACATCCTCCTGTCTGGCAGAAAGTAATGCTTGGGTCTGCTCTACAATCACCCTTCTGCAGCTCTATCTGAAGGCCATAGCTGCCCTTCAGGAGTTGGAAGTGGGTGAGACTTACTTGCATCTGCTTACTGAGCAAGGTAGGCTTTGGTCTCTGCTTTCAGGATCATGCAGCATGCCAGTGTGGATACCAGATCTTGCAAAGACCAAGGACTTTGGAGTCCCTAAAAATGTGGCTGCTATTAGCTCTGTTAAACAGAACAATATCCTGCTGCTGTGGAAAAACTCATAAATCCTTTCCATAAGGTTTGTAGCATAATCCTTCTAGTTCTACCCTGGTAGAAATCCTGGTGTGTGCCCAGAGCCTCTATTCAGGACAAGACCAATGCCTTTTCTCTCTGCAATTGATTGAGAAGTGTAACCCATAGGTTCTAAGCTTTTTTCCCTCTTAGGAGTGTGAGATGCAGCTCTGAGTTTGTAGGTGCCTTTGATACTATCATATCCCAGCCTGCCCCAAGTAGGTAAGCGCTCCACAGAAGTCTTGTGTCTTTACTGACTCACCCAGCTTGATAAGATAAACACTGAGCTTGAAAAGTCAGGTACCTGTGCTGGGAACTAACACTTGAGGACTACTCAATCTAGCAAATAGAGGTGTAGCTGGATGTTGTGGTCAAAGTCTGAAACTCAACTGACAAGTTTGGAGCTTGCGCGCTCTCTCATGAAAGCAGCTTAAAGCTCAGTGGCTTTCAAGAGCTGTGCTTACTGTCCTTCCCACAGCTGAAGCCTTAAGTAGCTTTCAAGGATGCTGTAGTTCCTGCTGTGCTTTTCTGGCTTCTGTTAAGTGTGGAGAGGGATAATCTTAGTGCCTGGAAGTGCCTTCTCTGTTGCCAGCGAAGGTTCCTGGGGTCTCTAGGGGTGCTGGCTGCTATGCAGCTGCACTTGAAGGGGTACTTTAGGCAGTGATGTGAAAGGGCTGTTGGAGGGAGGTAGGTGGGACTCCGCAGTTCAGTGGAGCAGGGTAAAAATGGGTGAGCACAGAGCTAGCACTGCTGCTGTGGTGGTACAGACTTGCTGTCTTAAGTAGTGAATGGGAAGGTAGATAGCAGGACACTATGATGCCATTTTAGTGCTTGGTAGCCTTGTGTGATGCTTGTTGCTGTCCTCCTGGGTCAAACTTGAAGGAGGGGGGTGCTGGTGTGACTGTTACTGGATGCTCCCTGCTGGGGAAAAAAGGTCACTCCAGCCTCTCAGCTGTAGCTTGAATCAGCTATGTGCTTCCTGATGGTGGCAGCAGTAATCCTCCAGGGAGACTGCTATGGGGGGACCCATTTCTCCAGGCCTGTGTTTGGGAAGTGATTCCTGTGCCTCTTCTTGGAGGAGGGGTAGGATGGATGGGATTTCTGCTCTGCAACAACATAGCTGTGAATAGTGTTAACACTTGAGGGTGTTACAGCAAGAATAAGATCAAGGAGATGTAGATGCAGTGTTGGGGCTGGAAGCTTTCCTAAATGAAATGTTAGGATCTGCCTTGAAAAGACTGCAGGTGATGATGTGGTCTCCTCAGCTCTGCTGGAAACAGGATCAGGTTCATGAAAGAGTAGGGAGTGCATGGCTTCACTGGATGCTTATTTATAATCAGTTGGAAGTAATGACAACCAGGTAATTGTGGTGGGACTCCTGAAGCTGTGCTCAAGATGTGAAGTTGTGTAGGGCTGTGCTCTTCAGGCTGCCTTCCTGGGTCAACTGCTGCCTGATCTGCCCTTTCTCTCTCCACAGACATACTGCCACTACCATGGAGGGGATTGTGACTATGTATCAGGACTTCATGAAAAAAGCAGGTAAGTGGCCCTATTCAGATGCGGGGTGGGTGGCATTATGTGCTGTGCTGCCACAGGCCTGGGAGTGTGTTCTGAACTATCTGATACAATGCTGGTCTGTGTTCTGCCCTAATATAAGTGCAGCTCTGAAGCACAGCTTCAGGCTGTATCTTATACAGCTTTGCTGGGTTCTCCAGTCTCTGTTATCAGGTTGCCCCTTGCCTGTACTCCTGTCCTTGGAGAATGGGGTTTTCATGTCCTTCACTTTATTCTGGTGTTATCACTGCTGTTAGCAGATTGGGGTTGGGATGCTTACTGCTGTGCACCTTGGCTTTCTCCACAGACCCCCGCATTGCTGATTATCCACTGATGCAGTCCCCATTCCTTGTGTTGGGCATCCTTCTGGCATATGTCTACTTTGTACTCTCCTTGGGTCCCCGGCTAATGGCAAACAGGAAGCCTTTAAACCTGAAGAAGTTCATGGTGCTATATAACTTCTTCCTGGTGGGACTCTCACTCTACATAGTCTATGAGGTGAGTTGCCAGCGGGTTGTCTGGCACATACAAAGCAATCCATGCAGGCTGTGTGGGTCATGGAAGAGTGCTTCGTGGGTTCTTCTCTGGTATTTTGAGCAGGGCTGGGAAATGCAGTGGCTTGTGTGTTGGATCTCACTCTGATGCTCTTGTTGCAGTTTCTGATGGCAGGGTGGCTTACTGGGTACACCTGGCGATGTGACCCTGTGGACTTCTCACAGGACCCCAAGGCCCTCAGGGTGAGTTCTGTCCTCTCTCATGAGTAGGGATGGCTTTCAGTGCTTGTCTGGACAGCATGTTCCCTGCCTCTTCTTTAAGGCAAATGATTTGATATCTGGCTTCTAGTGTCACTGCAGGGTTCCTGTCTGGTGGGATCTGGTCATGGGGCATGTTCTGACTGACATGGGTCTCATGTTAACTTGTTCTATTACAGATGGTCAGTGTTGCTTGGCTATTTGTCTTTTCCAAGTTCATTGAACTGACAGACACGGTAAGTTACTAGAGAGGCCTTGTTCTTGGGGGAAACTTTAATCACTGCTTTGGGCAGGGATTTGAGGCCCAGTGTACTTGAGGTGGTAGGTGCCTACTTTGGCCGTTCCAGTCTGAACTGCCAGTGGTTCTGATATCACTGGAGAGATCACTCTGGATATCACAGAGGCTACCTCTATCATAACTCTGGAAGCTGTGGGATAACCTAATGTGTGGTTGCAATGATCTTGGGGGGAAGCGTCACTGAGACCAGACACTGAAGCAGTGGCCTGGGTTATTTCACCTGCTCCGAGTGCTGACCTTTGATGCTGCTGGGCTCTCATTGCAGGTCATATTTGTGCTGAGGAAGAAAAATGAACAGGTCACATTCCTGCACCTTTTCCACCACTCTGTTCTGCCCTGGAGCTGGTGGTGGGGAGCAAAGTTTGGACCAGGTAAGATAGGAAATGGCCAGAGAAAAGGTGGAGTTAGTATCAGCTAAACAAGGAAGGCATTTTTACTACTGCTGGGCTCCTAGGAGTTTTTTTTTTGTAGTATTGCTTTGCTGCAGATGATTGACTTATTCTTGTGCAAATGTGTCTAACAGGGGGAATGGGATCATTCCATGCCATGATCAATTCCATGGTGCATGTGGTCATGTACTTCTACTATGGGCTCTCAGCAGCAGGACCTGCCTTCCAAAAGTACCTGTGGTGGAAAAAGCACATCACAGCCATCCAGCTGGTAAGTCTGTGCTATGGAGTAGTGTATGTCCTCAGCCTCTGATGTGAATGGCAGATCAGTGTTTGTACATATAAAAGATGCAACCAAGAGCTGTAGTTCTTCTTTCTCAGTCTTCCACTCTAGGTTTCTAGCAGCTCTGGCCTGCTGTGGCCTCTGATAGCCTTAACAGCCTGGTGAGGGCATGAAGACTGCTCAGCCTGCTACCTCTGGGCTGTGGCATGTTGGGAGGGTGATAGACGAACACTACTTTAAAACTCATGCTTGCATCTTCCAGCTACAGCTGTCTGCTCCTCTCTATAAGAACCTGTATTTAGAATGGGCAAAGGCTACAGATTTAATTTAGAAAAAAGGTGTATAGTGGGAGATCCTTAAGCCAACTCCCATGAATTATTTGTTCTGCCTTGTTTCCCAGGCACAGTTCGTGATTGTCTCCGTCCACATCTCCCAGTACTACTTCATGCCCAGCTGTCAGTACCAGTTTCCCATCTTCATCCACCTTATCTGGATTTATGGGACCATCTTCTTCATCCTCTTCTCCAACTTCTGGTACCAGTCCTATACCAAAGGCAAACGATTGCCCAGGGTGGCTCAGCAAGCAGCCCAGCACAATGGTAGCAGCATCCATGAGAATGGCAGTGTCACCAATGGCAAGGTTAAAGCCAACTAGAGGGCAGCCTGGCCCTCCCAGAGCCAATGAGAGCCCCGGGGCAGAGGCAGCTGGGACCTGTTACCCTGCTCCTGGGTGCTACTAGCCAAGTCAAGTGCCTACAGACTGTTGTACCCTTGTGCCCAGCCCTGCTGTCCTCTGTCTGCATGCCCAGCTCCTCTGCTCTGAGCAGCCGTGGGCAACTTCTGCTCTTGGGAGGGCTTGTGCTGTTTCTCACTGTTGTTGAACAGAGAGACAGCTGCCTGCATCACAACTTGGGGCTGCAGTCCCATTCCAGTGTTTCCAAAGGAATTCCCCCAAGTGCCTGCATCTGGCCCTTCTGCATGGGGGCCATTTCCTTCTGAGTAGGACCAAAAGAAGAGACTGATCCCTGTCCTGGTGCCCTCTCCTCTTCCCTGGCTCATTGGAGCCTGTGTGGATGAAGTGACTTGTCCCTGGTTGCTTGCTGCTGCCAGCTCAAGTGTGAATGCTCCTGCTCTACCATGCCTTGTGCAACTTTGTTCCACGCCACAATGCTGTGTGTCCCTTATGGTCCCTGTATACCCCGGTGGTGGTGAGGGGGTCCTGCCCTGGTGTCTGTGCTCAGGTGTGGCTGTGGAGAATGTAGGGGCAGCAGGTATGTGGTACTTGAAGGCCCAGAGCTGCCCAGTACAATACACATGCCTTATGCCTAGTACGAAGTGGGGTTGTGACAGCCTGAAATGCCTCTACCATATAATAAGCCCAGGTTGCCTTGCATTTCTTTCCTGTGCCTGGGTGGAGTGCTGAGCATGTGCTTTTGGCCATGCTTATGTGTGATCCAGAATAGCAGCTGGTGGCTTGTTCTGGAGTAAGGGAGGCCAAGCTCACTGTGCTTTGGGTGACTTACATTCCTGCAAGCTCAAGACTTGAGCAGTAATTGCCTCTAGAGTTGTCTGCTGGGCTCTCCTGCCTGGAACTGGCTCTGCTCTGGTCTGATGTGAGCACAGTGGAGGATTGTTGTAGTGTACTCTGCTATGGTGTAGTGAGGAACACCTCTTGCCTTTGTGGATTCTGCTAGGCTTGAGTGAAGATGTGCTCTGCCATTCAGCAGGGCAGTGCAGCAGCTCTCCTGGGCCTGGTGCTTGTTGCCTGCTCTGACTAACTAAAGCTATGTTAGTAGCCTTGAGGATGAGGTGAAGGAGCCAGGCCCAGTCAGATTGGGCTGCTCTTCTATCACAAATAAACAGACAGAAGGAGAAATGGCTCTGCCCTCTTGTTTTCCTGACTTGCTGTGCTGTGAAGCTGTTCCAGCTGCTTGGTCCTGCCCAGTGGTTTTGGAGGCAGGGCTGGGAGAAGCAGCTGGTGTAGCAGGTTTGTGCTGGTGGGGAGAGGGCTGTGCTGTGCTGATGAAGCAGATGGCAGACTGTTTCCAAGTGCTTTGGTAGAGGGGTGTTCGGGGCAGGAAGTGTGTCAAGGCTCCTGTTGTGAAAGTGGCTCCACCCTGTTAAAGAATGGCTGGGGTGGAACAGAGGTGTGGGCTGGGACCTGGGCCAGCAGAAGCTGCTGCTGCTTTTCAGAAATCCTGTCCTGGCTCTAGTGCAGAATTGGGGTGGAGTGGGGATTAGACTCTGGAAGCCCTGGTTATGGGGAAAACAGCAGGGAGGCCAGCCGGATGCTTTCTGAAGAAGAGGGAAAGGAATCTATTTAAAGCTGTTGCCATCCCTGAGCAATGCTCAAGTCCTGGTCTCTGCAGAAAACATTTTGGGCTGGACAGAGGATAATTTCCACTGCTGCTTTGTTGCTCCTGCTACAGCAGTGCATCTTCCTCAGCTGGGTTCTGTTCCCCTCTACCAGCTGAAACAGTTTCACTTTTATGCAGAGTGGTCAGTGCTGCCTTCCCCATCACCTTCTGCTGAGTGAGAAGGCCAGGTCTGAGTGCTGACTCAACCCTGAGAATTGGGCTGGGTAGCCAGCCAGCTTGTGGGGCAAGGAGGAATGCATGAACCCAGAAAGCCTCCAGGTGAGTTTCACTGTAGATTCAATTGTGGTGTGGGTGGACTTTAGTGGAAGTGTAGCCAAAGCCCTGCAGCTGGGCTTGGTGTGGGTGAGAGCTTAGTTGTGCAGTGAGGCAAGGCAGAAACATCTCTTAGGAGGGAGGACAGGCTGCTGCCCTGTGTAAATGTTCTTCCCCATTCCTACTGGTGCTGCTCCTGGGGTAGGGACTGACAGGAGAGTTCTGATCCTTGCTGAAGTGGTGGCATATCAGCTCAGTGCTCAGAACTCACAGCTTGAGCAGGAGGCAATCCAGCTGCCATTGTTTAGCTTCCTTTTCCCTCCCTGCTTCTAGCTGGCTCTTAATGAAGACAGGACTGTCCTTGCTTTTGCCCGAAATAGTAACAGAAGTTTAAACTACTTACATTTGATATTCTAAAAGAGGGCTGTTCCTTCTGTGTGCTCTGCTTGCCCTTCCTCCAATTGTTCCTATTAGCTTGTGATCTTTCCATGGGTGGGCTGTGGAGCTTAGTCATTTATTCCCTGTTGGGGGCAGGCAGTTCCAAACTGCATTTACACCCTATATGGTAGTTGCTGGGCTTGCATATGAGCATAGCCCCCTCCTTCCCTTCAGGGCAGCAGGACCAGTATGGGGCCAAGGGAAGAAAACTGTAATCCTATCTCCTTCCAGTAATGCTCAGGGGACTTTCAAGAGCCATGTAGAAGCAGAGTTTCTGGAAGCGAGTATGTGCAAAGCATCCAGGCAAGCTAAGCCCTGAGTATGATAAACCACTGTTACATTGTGATATGTGGAAAAACTGTGCTAGCTTTCAGACATGCAAAGCCTTCTTTCCAGAGCCAGGAATAGATGACAAGTGAGGTTTAGTAGTGGAAGCCATAGAGCAGCAAACTTGCCTTAACTTCCATCACTGGGGCAAGGCTCTTAAAGCAGCAGCCCAGGCCTGGGAAGGGAACTAATCTTGTGAGTAGTTTTCTTGTAGGATCCAGTTGCTGCCTTGAGCTTTGCATGTGAAGGGAAATTGACCTCATCTGCCCCTAGACTTCCTTTGCTCTTCCAGGTGACAGGTGGGGTGCACAAGGGTCACTCCTGTGTTCAGGCTCTGCCTGTCTGCCTCCTCATCCTCCTTCTGCAGCTGCTATGATTCCCCTTTGCCAGCATTATGTGTAGCCCTTCTCTGCTGCCTGTGGCCTAAGTCAGTAGCTGCCTGGTACAGCACACAATGCCAGCACCTGCCCCCACCTGTGAAGGCTTCTGTCTGCTTAAATGGCACTTAAATGGCAGAAGTGGATAGAACCTGGTGCAGCATGGTACTGTGTGAAAAGGAAGGGGAAAGCAGACTATGAGTTGCTTTGCTAAGCTGCTTTGCACATGCAAGATGTTATTCACAGCTCTGCAGTTCTCTAGGCTTCTCCAGATAACCCATGCTGGGGTGGGCACAGTACCCTGGTGCAGCCCTACAACTTCACACACTGCAGTTCCACATTCAGAGTAGTGTGACTACAGTTCCACATTCAGAGTAGTGTGGCAACTTTGGCCAGGGTCTTTGCTTTGGTAAAGGTTCACTGTATCCTTTAGTTTAAGACGTTCAAAGGGAGTGGGATGTTACCCATATGACTTTACTAGAGGAAGGATTGAAGAGAGCTTGCTCTGCAGGCATAGACTAGATTTTAACTTCATGTTGAGAAGAGTTAATACTGCCAGTGGTGAACCCCACACTGTAAGCTGGCCCTAAAAACAGAGCTCTACATCTCACCCAGAAAACAAACCTCAGGGAAGAGCTTCTTGTTGATCTAAGCCACAGATGGCACTTTCTTCCATCAGCTTTAAAAGGCAAAGGCAAATTAAAGCTGTTTATTAACATTTAAAATACTGTACAGTGTGTAAGTCCCAGCTTCCCACAATACCAACTCTGTGCATTTATCGGATGCCCTGGTGAATGATGCTGCTTTTGGCACTGTTTGCCTTCTCTCTTTCCTTCTTCTTTATGGGATCCATCTCAAAACAGCGCCAAAGCCGCAGTGTTTCGTCAGCAGCTGCCGATGCTACTGTTACACCATCTGGGCTCATGCTTAAGTTCAAGACTCGAGCAGTATGACCTAAGGAAGTGTACAGTCAAGGCTGTGCTGATTCTAAGCACAGCCATGGTTCCCCCACCTTTTGCACTTGTGTCCCTTGTAAGCCTCAACAGCCTCCATCAGTGCCCCATAACATCTGAAGCCTTATGAGATCACATCCTCAGCCTACAATTGCAGCACATAAGTATTCTAGAGGATGTCCCTGGACACTATTTTTTATTATTGGTGCTTTAGGTTAGACAAGTTAGCAGGCTTGAACTGAGGATTAAATCTGCCTTCAGCCTTACCTTCCCCAGACAAAAGATCTAGCTTACCTCGAAGTTCAGTGACCTTGGCCATTGATGGATACTTCCATATCACTAGCTGATTCTGTGCAAAGCCATGGCCTGAAACAAACTCTTTATAGGTTGTTGACCACAGGATAGAACAGACCTGTGAAGAGGCAGAAATACTTATGCTGATGAGCATCAGCAAGAATGAGCCCCTGATGGCTCCCTAACCTGTCCCAGGCCTCAGGGACCATCATGTGTGCCAGAGTTTTATCACCAGGATGTTTGTCTCACCTGGGAATGGGCATCAACAGCACTGAGACAGGCGCCAGAACAGACATTCCAGATGCGGATGTGTCTGTCGCTGGTTCCACCTCCAGTGGCTAGAACACTTGACTGCCACGGACACCATGCCACAGCCTGAGGAAGAATCAGTATATTTTAAGAAATACAAAAGGTAGTCTGCTCCTATTGCATCTTTCATAGCTCAGACCACAGCAGCTGCAGGGTAGCCTCCCTCCAAAGGGCGGGGACTACAGCAAGTTCTACACACCTGCTTTTCACATAGACATGCCCCCATGCTATCCACACAGCAGACCTGTACTCACCTTGACAGCACCCTGGTGCTGAGTGAAGGTCTGTACAGGAGTGAAGTCTCCACTGTCCCCCTGGACAGATGGCCAGATGTTCACCAGGTTGTCATTGCCACCACTGGCCAGGTAGCGACCATCTAGAGACCACTTGAGTCCACACACCTCTTGTGTGTGGCCAGTAAGAGTGGCCACGTGGTGCTCAGCCACTCTGACATCATGGTGGTGGATGTGGCCAGTTCGTGACCCACTGCAGAGAGGAGATTCAGTGTCAGCCTAGCTCATTTTCACCAAAAGCTGTTTCTGTGCTACTGCAAGGCTGCCTTTTTTGCCATTGAGTTTCAAACTGTTAACCACCATCACTGGCCTGTTGACACAAGCAAAGCAACCACAGAACCTCTTCACAACTGACTGTATCTAGCAGCTGGACACTACTTCACGCCCAGCCTTACCTGGAGAGGATATAGCTGTTCCAGCTGAGGGACCCCACACGAGAAGAATGGCTGGTCATACTTCGGAGACGCTTCTGCTGCTGTATGTCCCATAGCTGGAGAGGCAAGAGTATTATGTTCTCCAGAGGGTAAGGAACAGCAGCATTGTTGCTTTGCCAGGAAACTTTACTACACAGGCTCTGGCATTTGACCTTTTCTGTATGGGAACAGCAGTTAATTTCTCATGTACAGAACAGAGTTATTCCAGACATCAGAATATCCTTAAAGGCTGCCTTGCTACTGCAGTTGATCACTGACCACAGGTGGGTGGGGACACCTCCCTTATACTAGTCTTATCACCCTCAACATCACAAGACAGAGGCTATAACCACTAATAGTCACAAGACTACAGGAAGTATTCCCACTGCAGTGAAGATCACTTACAGCCTTCTGGAGAGCAGATGACAGAGCTGTAAAAAAACTACTTAGAATTTGTGCTACCTAATGATGATGTGAGCATAAATGCACCTTCAGACAATATTGCTCTCTGGCAGAGAAGCACACCAGCGTCAAGTTCTCTACAGGTCTGTCACAAGTCATCCACTTCACCCCTCTGCTCCCACAGTGGGCAGCAATTCACTGAACTATAACATTGGAACACTCCTCTTCCCTGTGCTAAGGATAAAGACAAGTTAGAACACACTGTATCTTTCCTGTGCTAGCCAAGACTTTGTTCCAAGGCCCCACAGCTCCAGCAATCCTTGGACCACCTCTCATTTTACTGCACTCACCTGGACCTCAGCATTTCTTGTGCCAACAGCAAGGTAGTTTCCTTCTTTAATCCATGACACAGAGGATACATAATCATCTGGATTCTCTATCTG